AAAAAGAAAAAGAAAAAGCCGTGTCCCCTACACCTCCCTCCTCCCTCAAAGCGGAGCGGGAACTGTTGGAGGGCAGGACCCCGGCGCGGTGCCGCTGCTGCTGCCGAGCGGTGGCGGCGGGGGATGCGGGGCGCGAGGGGGATGCGGGGAGTGCGGGGCGCTCCCGCCGCCACAGCTCTACCGGGCGGCCCCGGCGTGTCCGCCGCTCCTCTCTCCGCTCCTCTCCTCTCTCCTCCCCTCCTCTCCCGCCGCCTCCGCCTCCTGCCGCCGCGGACACACCGGCTGGCAGCGAGAGGGAGGAGAATGAGCGCGGCTCCCGAGGCTGCCTGGGGAAGGGAGGCTGCGGGGTGTGGACTAAACCACTGCGCTCCACACCCACGCGTCCCTCTCTCTCTCTCCTCCCGGGGTAGGGAGATGGGGACGGCGATGTCAGCCGGCAGCCCTAGGGCTGGGAATCAGGCTCGCTGTCTCCCCTCCACAGTTGGGTGTAGGTGGGATTTACATGATTGCTCCTCAGCGCTTCCCCTTTAATGGGCAGCTAATTTTTCGGTAAGTGATTTCATGGAACTGTTCTCTAATTATTCATTTTCCCCTCTCGCACGCATAACGCGGGCGGCTCGAGAGTGAGACCCTCGAAAGCATATTCCCCAGGGATTTCTCTGCTGGCCCGCTCTGTGGAAAAGGTGGCAAATAAAATAAAACACAAAACAAAAGACCGCCCGTGTCCCACAGAGCCTGTGGGACCGGCGGGCTCCGCCGAAACCCAGGAGCCTCCAGCCTCCCGGGTCCCTTGGATGCAGCGGAGCTCCCGCCAGCGGGAAAGTTTCGTGTTCCCTGGAGGCGGCGGTGAGGGAGACGGGGGAAGGGGCCGCCTCACCCCCCAGTAACCAGGGAGAACAGCCCCTCTCCCCCACACGCTCAGAACAAACCCCGAACCACCAGAGCAGAAAGAGGGAGGGACACGAGGGAAGGAGCAACGCGGAGAAAGCGGAATTTAACGGCGCCCGGTGCCGGAGAGGGGCAGAGACAGCCCGGGAGGGAGACAGAGACACCCGGTGAGGGGGGGCAGAGGTGGCCCATGATGGGGCACAAACACCCCGTGATGGGGACACAGACACCCTGTGAGGGGGGACAGAGACGCCCCGTTAAGGGGGCACAGCCACAGACACCTCGTGAAGGGACACAGCCGCTCCCTGAGGGGACACAGACACGCCGTTAAGGGGGCACAGCTGCCCGTCAGGGGACACCCACCCCCTATGAGGGGACACAGCCGCCCCCTGAGGGGACACACACACACAGAGCCGTGAGAGGACACACCTCCCCACCGTGTCACACGCGGCCCCGTGAGGGGACACACAGCCCCGCGCTGTCCCCGCTGTCCCGCCGTGCCCGGGCCGCGGCAGCGCCGCTCGGTGAAGCCCGAGCGCCCCCTACTGTCGGGCGGGGGGAGCGGCCGCCCCCCCGCGCCCGGCGCTGCCTTTTGTGCGGCGGCTTTGGGGGCTCTGAGCTTTCCTCTCGTCCTGCTTTCTTGCTTTCTTTCTTTCTTTCCCCCTTTATTTTGCATGCGCTAGAGATTTATTCTTTTAATAAGTTCTCCGCGCAAAAGATCCGAACAGTATTTCTGCAAAATGTACACGGCTCCCTCCCTCCACACAGACACATAAAAAGTGGTCCACAAGTTAATTCTTCCTTGATTCTTGTGTGCAATCAGTGACAACTGTTTTACCGTCGCCAAACGTGACACTGTTTTTTTTTTTTTAAGTGTCTGAGAGAATTACTGGTATTCCATACAAAGCCAAGATGAATATTCCAAAGCCTCTTTATGCAAATCAGGGAACGATGTCCCCTTATACTCACTATCTGCCCTGCAGATAAATACTATAGAATAATAGAGTGGCCTGGGCTGGAAGGGACCTGAAAGATCATCTAGTTCCAAACCTCCTGCCATAAGCAGGAACACCTTCCACTAGACCAGCTTGCTCAGAGCTCCATCTAACCTGGCCTTGAAAGATTCCAGGGATGGAGCATCCACAGCTTCCCTCAGCCACCTGTTCCAGTGGCTCACCACCCTCACAGTAAAGAATTTTTTCCTAATATTTAAGCTAAATCTACTTTCTTTTAAGTTAAAGCCATTCCCCTTGTGCTGTCACTACATGCCCTTATCAAAAGTCTCCCTCCATCTTTCTTGTAGGCTCCCTTCAGGTACTGGAAGGCCACAATGAGTGACCAAAATCTTCTCTTCTCTAAGCTAAACAATCCCAGTTCTCTCAGCCTTTCTTCATAGCAGAGGTGATTCATCCCTCTAATCAGCTTACTGACCTCCTCAGGACTCACTCCAACAGGTCCATGTTCTCCCTGTGCTGGGGACCCCAGAGCTGGAGGCAGCACTGCAGGTGGGGTCTCAGCAGAGCAGAGGGGCAGAATCCCCTCCCTCCCCTGCTGGTCATATATTGCTACACCTGAAGACTAACTGATGAGGAAGGCTACAATTAAAGCTAATTAGGGTCAGCTGATCAAAAGGGTAATCTTTGTCAGTTTAGTTGTGAATTGGCAAAACAAGAAGACCATGACTATCTGACGACAGTCTGTGTAACATACATGAAATATTAAAGAAAAGTTTCCTTTGTAGTGGACATTTCAAATACACAGTGTTAGTGAAAATGCTTGTTTATGGCTGAGTTTTAAATGGGAAACAGCTACACACTGTACAGTCATTTTTCTACTTCTCAAATAAATTTAAGATAAATTTAATAATTGCTGATGTAGACCATAACACTTTGTAGATACATGCAGTCTTCAAAACCCTTAGGTACAGAGGTACCTGTAGAAGAGTATTATGACTCATATAAACATTCTCAAAGAAATCAATGGATTATCCATTACAACTGCTACTGTTTTATTCATTCACTTCTGCAGAATACCACTTTTAAACTATTAAACACTTTGCAAAACTTCGAAAAGTTTCAGCCAATTTTAAACAAGCATTTTCACTAATAGATTTTGCTCATATGTATTTCACTGATTTAGGGTTTTTTTTCCAAGAAGAGTTAACTGTTCCTCAAAATAAAATAAAAGGGCATCCAAAGACATCTGGAGCATTACAGAAGAGATTCACAAGCGTTGTGTCTTACAAGCACAGGACATGTCACAGACCAGAGCCACTGGCCTGTGGGCAGTGTTCTCAGGACAGTGTTTGCTTCCATTATAAGATGAGATCCAGATACTGGAATAAAAAAAAAAACATATGCTTGTCTCTCTGGTCTTTCAGTACCCTCCAATGAACACGGCCAACAGGACAGGTGTTCTCTGCTTGAACAGCAAAGTCTGTACAGAGGAACTGAATGTGCCAGCTTTTTGTTTGGCTATGAGCAATATGCCACCTGATTAAATACTTGTGTGAGCAGGATGGGGAAAGGATATGTCAGTGTTGGTGCACATGAAGCTTCAGTTCAAAGAGTATTGTCGAGGTGGAACTTTAGAACAGGGAAATGGCACAGTAAGATTGCCCTTATTCACACTGAGGTCAATCATCAAATGAGGCAGGACTAATTTGGAAAAACAGGGGTGAGATCAGGTGTGTGCCAGTGGTAGAAGTAAAGGTTTCATTGCCTTCCCAGTCTGTTATTTCATGTCTTTGTTTCCTAGACTTACACATCTGCATTAAAATACATATTTAGTATATGAAAGATCAGATCCAGTGTTTAAAGAACGAAGCATCGACCTCTCTTCAGGTGAGCTCTGCCATTCACAGGGTTTTTCTTCTAAACCAACATTGCCATGTCTGGTGTTACATATGTATATAACATACCCTCTTTCCTGGTTGCCATAAAAACCTCTTGCTTTCTCCAAGAAGAAAGGTTACGTTGAGGTGGATAATATAGAATTTCTTATGGATACCAGAAGTACTCACCCAGGGAATTGCTGAAAGTGAATAGAGATCTTCAATATCAAAAATATGTATGTGGTGGGATGACCAGGTAATTTAAATGTAGGCAACTAAGTTAAGTTAGGAGGCTGGTCTTTCTTGGCTCTGGAACAGAGCAAAAGGTGGATCCAGAGGATAATTCAGAGCATGTAATGCTGGGCAACTTCAGAAACACAAAAAAAAAAAAAAGGAAAAAAATGACAGTGAGCATGGACCTTCCCAGAGAACAGACTTTTGTCTTCCTCTGTGCTTTTCTGTTCCAGGTCACTGGGTTCTGATGTCATCTGACTATTGAATACATGATGAGAGAAGAGAATTTATAGATTTTAATCCTTATAAATGCTGAAGCATGATTATTATTCCTTCTACAATCAATAGGGTCTTCCACAGGAAGATTGTACGTGAGAGGTAAATCAGGAACTGAGCCCAGGAAAAGACATGTTGTTAAAACAGTGTAAGCACTGTGGCTGCATCTGTCTCACAAAGCCCCCTGAAAAGTAGCTTTTCTGCTGTCCCTGGCTACATCAATTCTGACTAATCTACTTTCCTAGAACCACTCTTGTGGATTAAAAAAAAAAAAAAAAGGGTGATGGAAGCACGTGTTTGTCTCTCTGTCTCACAGGTGTCTCTTACTTGCAGCACAGAGGGTCACCTTCTGCTTCAACATCAAAAATTCCTGTTGTGGCATCTGACTTCAGAGTGTTCCTCTGGAAATACCAATCAAGCAACACTAAGAACCCTATTTTGAAATGCCCTTAGTTTGCTAGACTATGTTAGTATGTCTGCACAATTTTTAATTACTAGTACAGCTACAGTGCTTACTGCAATTATAAGAATGATCTATACTGCTGGTAAGATAAATATTTGGTAAATTAAGTTATTGCAAGTTTTTTGCTATATCATATGCTCAGTTTAGGGTTTAGCTCATTAAATCAGTGAGAACTGGTAAGAGAAATCTTTAAAACAGTTTTTTGACAATCTTTAAAACAACCTCACCTGAAATAAATTCTACTT